TGTTGCTGATGCGGTGGCGAGGGCGCTCCGTGATGGTGCCCAAGCATCACCGTCGGCTTGATGTCGCACGAGCTCGCACCGGACGCGCCTAGCGCGTCTTGATGGTGCATAAACGCGCCCATCACCGCCGCGTGAGCGACCGCCGCTTGGTACTCGCTGGTAGTACCACCGCCCAACCCGGAGAGAGGATTACCGCTGTTATTATTATTGGCGCTCGTCGAATTGTTATTATTCGTGCTGGAGGTCGTGCTGGCGGTTATGCTATCAGGCGTAGCGTCCTTGGGCGGTGTCGGCGGAAAGGAGAAGAGATGGTGACCGCCACCACCGTGACTCGATAAACTTCCAGTGGTGGGCGCCAGCGAGGATCCCAGGGGACTCTGCGGCTTCTCGTCGTTCACAGCGCCGCCCGTGGTCGTCGTCGCGGGGAATCCCCAGGGTGTCTTCGAGGTGTCCGCGCTGCTGCCAGAGAGCCACGGATGGAGAACCGAGCTATGGAAGTGCGGCCGGCAGACTTGGCTCACTGGACCGCTCGACACGCCGCTGCTCGACATCCTCGCTGAAAAGCAAATGAAACGTCAAACGTTAGACGGGATAACGTAATGTACATGTAAATGTGAATAAACAATTATAAATATGTGTGAATTGTACCAATGTTCAATCTGTACCAGGAACATATTTTTTGACGCTACGGAACATATGGATCCTTGGGACCTACTAAAGTTTTTATCAGTTTTATTTTTTAAGAACTTTTCAAGCTCAAAACCGCGAAGATAAGACTAAAACATAAAATTATTCCAAATCGTTAGTATTTAAAAGTTCCAGAATTACCAAGACCCACATTTTCCAGTTATAGGTTAATATCTAATTAAATAAATTCTCATCACAAAGTTAATATCCTGACATCACTGGCGAAATCATGTTACGATACGGATGAGTAGTATATTTCACAATGCGGACGGAACTTTTTGTTCCTAATGTAAAGGGGAATGAAAATAAGTCGTGTATTTAAGGCATTGACCGTTCCAGCTATTAAAGCAAGTTTCATTGCCGCTGCGACCTGCCATAAATATTTTTAAAAACCAGGCTCTGCCATGAAGAGCTTGAACAGATATCTTGCGAGAGTCCGATCGTGCTTCGCTCGGGAATCGCTTGATCTGAAAATGGTAGCCACATGGAGTATACATAGATGCTGTCGTAGCAACGACCGTCACGAGAAGGAAGAACCTGATTCACGTGCGTGCTCAGAATGATCGGATTTTATACCGATCGTAAAGGCCTAATTGCGACAGACGTCTTAATTAAGTACGAGGCCCACTCGCTTGATACGCGGTATTATGGCCCTTCCTCTTTACAGCGAACGACGTGTATCATTCTTCGATTGAGTTTGAAGCCATCATGATTCGCTTTATACACGATAAGGCACTAAACTTACCCACGCGTAATTAATTCTTCATTAGTAATCTTAATTTCGTTATACGGCACTAGAAGCGTGTCCACCAGCGTGATGCCGCGCCAACGAGAGATCGCGTTATGTATGCGTACCGGCTAGACGCGCGTTCGTCCGTTTTATCGTGTTTATCGACAAGAAAGAGCGCTATGTAAATGTCGGATCGAGAAATGGTGCTGCTCGCCTGACGCTAATTGCACTCCGAGTTCGAATTAGACCGCGTGTCGCATGTGGAAGTCGCGCGAGCGTAATGATTGCGATATCGCCGGTAACTTTTTTTTATTCTCGTTAATGGCTGGTTTTTGTTTCAGACTCGCATTTTTCGTTTTTTTGACGTACGAATCATTGAAGAATGTAAAATCGCATCGAAGTCCAATATATTTTAAATCGAAACTAATTTTTTTTTTTTTAAATTAAAGTAGCTATGAAATTTTCACGCGCTGACACATATTGTGAGACTTTTAGAGTAAATTGTCACTCTGAAAAGTAAAACCTCACTCTTAAAGGGTTTCTTATAAACAATAACCCATTACATAAGCTTTAAATCACAAGCCGTAAGAAATCGGCTAATTACTACAATCAATGTGAGAAGAATAGTCGACTATAATTGGTTAATTTTTTACGGCTTAAAACTTAAAGCTTAATTTTATAATAACTTAATTTTTACTCTTTAAAATAAGATTCCACTCCAAAAAATTTAGAGAATAAATATGCCACTGTAAAAACGATTATATCACTTTAATGAGAAGATAATTAACAGCCAAAAAATCTGGCGTGGTTACGATGTCTAAAATTAGAGTTATATTTGTGGGACAAAAATGAATGGGCAATTACGGCCATCCTGCGACGATACGGTCACCTCTCGTCATTAATGGCGGTACAGAGAGCTCATAACGTATCAAATTAATTAGCTTTGGTTATTATCTTACGACAACAATAACGACGACAACGACCACCACGACGACTAATTAACCGATCCCCATCTTTCGCCGTCAGTCAGGAAAGTGCAGCGTTCTTAATATCCGTGCAAATTTGCGGATGCACATTGTTGCCAGCGAATACCAAAACGTGCATGCGACGCATGCAAACCTGCTTACTTGGCCCAAGTGACCGATCGATATATCGAGTTGGTTCTTGCTAACAACGCCCGCTCCACCACCTTCACGGCATACGCTGATAACAAGATGATGTTTTGCCAAACCACGCTTCGTCTTGTCTCCCACCCTGTGTCTTCTGACTATCCCTCGAATTATGGACATTAATTTCAAACTCCGAGCTCACGTCCGCGTTACAAGAACTCCCACACTTTGCACAAACGTCGAGAAAGAAACTTTCAAAATCGTATTTCCATCGCAAATGTACTTGGAACACACGCAAATAACATAGAATAGAAATTTCCTGGTTTTTAATACAATTGCAAATTGGTTATCTATAATGTAAAAGCACGTTTGACAGGACATAAACGAAACGTTCGTTGGCATATCGCGCATTGCAAATGGCGGCGGCATCTGCGGAAAGACGCGCTGTCTAAATTTAGAGAAGCGCGAAACACAATATTACGAATACACAGCGAGCGGCGAGATGAGCAGCTGCGGCTCTGTAATTAATCGGAGCCAACGATGGCCTGTCTGTAATTGGATCCGCTGCATCGCGGCGCAGCCGCAATGAAAAGTAAACAAGCTCTACGTATAGCTTTCGAATCCTCAACTATTTCATTATACCTTGATATTCATCCTAATAACGTTATGCAATCTCTGTATGTTACTTTTTATAACGATAATAGCATGCTAACGTGATTTCATTTCCTCTAATTATCCAAGATATGGTATATCCATTATCATTATCATTATTGATATTTCTGTTCACGTTGCTTGCATTTTTTAACAAAATCTTGACTTTCTCTTTTTTTCAATGTCTGAATATGTATATACTTATCTCGGTTTAATAACAATCTTTGAGATTTCAAGCAACACGAACAGATTTGAAACCTTGTGTCCATGTTGTTAGAAATCAATCCGAGATTTCGGACAGACAAAGAATAAATGACATTAAAACAATTTAGTCACGTGACCAACGTGTTTGCTCAATTCTTTCTTCATCCAGAAGTTCTATGACCAATTTCTAGTATCATAGACATAAAGCTCAATAGGTTGTAATAGTTTGAGATAAAATATCACTAACGGAACTCAAAGTCAGTCTCATGTCAGAATCATTCTGATCGTCGCGACGAGCAAGATGGGAATCGAAGATAAAGACAGAGTGGTAGCGACGAAAAATGCGCAGACAGAGAAGAACACTTCGCACTTTCGACGCAATAAAAACTTCCATGCTGAGCGATATTTATCGCTCTTTCCGACCCTCCTCTTCGTGTACGCTTCCCTCGTCGCGACTCCGTTTTTACAGGATTTCACGGGACTTTTTGTCGGCTGGCTCTCCCCCCTGCGGCATGCGGCTCTTCCGTTATCTTCGCCTGCGTCGTCTTTGTCTTGATATAACTCGCTAATTGACTAATGAAGTAATCATCGAGAACAGTATTAGTATTCTATAATAAGCTATTACCTATAAGCTTTAAGGGGATGTTGGAGTGTCCAACAAAGTATCGAGACATTACAGTTACTGAACGAAATCAAAAAGTCTTTTTACAGAATTTAAGTAAACGCAAAGTTAGGAGGTGGGGCAGTGGACTTTACAATAAAATCGAAAAAAAAAATTAAAAACTTATATTTTTTCAATTCGTAGAGCTGACATAAATGTGTTTTCTTAATACAAAAATTGTATAGCTCGTATGGACAAAACGACATTACACCACCCGTCGGATTACGTGAACGAATAATACTGAGTTTATAAAATTAAAAGCTTAAAAAACAGATTTGTATTGTATTGATTTGCAAATTACGTATATACGTATGCTTAGCGAAGACTCGGAATGGTAAACAAAACAGTAATTGTGTCTAGCAGCAGGTGCTCTTGCAAGAGATGGCGTTGTAACATGTTAGATGATGGACAGAACAATAATGTGAGAAATGAATTAAAGATGTCACTATTATCGACATTTTTAATTTGGAATTAAACTGTACCTACTATCGACATCAATCAAGTTCGACTTTAGCATCCCTTTAAGTCTTAAGCTGTAAGAAACTGATCAATCAAATATGAGAAGAATAATCAACCATGATTGGTCGATTATTCTTCCCACATTCGACTATGATTGGTAAACAGTTTTTTATGGTTTAAAGCTTAGGTAATATCTTATTGTAAAAAGCTCATAATGTTCAGTATCGTTTAAATTTCTCAAAAATACAAACGCGAAATAGGAATGCAGCCTTATTAAAGATCCCCTTATTAAAAGATCACCGATTAAAACAACGTCGTAAATTACGTTTGCTGTAAGCGGCAGCTATACGTTTTCGACGGATATAATTTCCTCGCTTCATGAGAGCCACGTCGAGCCATGGATCGTCCAGAATAACGTTTCCATTCACTCTCGTGGCTCCGCTTTTATGAACCTAGCCGCCAGTTTTCACACGCGCAATAATCGCGCTCCATAAATCGCTCCACGATAATCACGCTGTTCAGCGGTATTCGGAAACTTGGCAGCATGTCACAATAAAGTAGCGTCATTTGTTGAAACAGAAGGAAAAAGGAAGATACAGACGAATCTTTTTATTATTATGCTACGTAGATCTCGAGGAGTTTTTTTGAGCGTCCATTAGCAAGGCGCTCATTGAGAAACGAATCCCGTCTAATATTCCGCCGGCTTTCTTTCTCAATCACGAATCCGTTTTTGCGCTATTAAAGCAGGATTGTCCTTCGATCGGACCAAAAAATACCAGGTCCAAAAGGAGGTCTACGGTCTATCCATGTACAACGAATACAGCCTGCCGTATATTAACGATGACATTATGCTAACAGTATCGATTTTCTCCACAATCTATTCTATTCTAACGTATCAAATTTCAACTCACGATTAAGTCAATCGGACAGCTGAGGAGAATGGGAAATCGCAGATCGTTTTCGAGGCTCGGGACGGGTAAAGCCGCTCAGAAAATATATTTTCTGCTTTGCTCCACTGTTAGTCGCATCGTTAAATTCCAGATATGGCTTCGCTT